GTAACTACTGTACGCTATTTAGCTAGGGTGTGCTCAACAAGCACTATTTCATGCGTGTACAGAAGTGGTGTGAACAGGAAATATTTTCCTTCAATCCTTCTTTCCCCTCCTTGCTTGTTTATCATTGACTTATTATATGCAACAACTGTCGCGCCTGCAGAGGGCATGACGGCGCAGCAGAGGAGGGAGAGCTACGCGTGTGATGTCACATACGTCACCAACAGCGAGCTTGGCTTTGACTACCTCCGAGACAACCTTGCCACTGTGAGTTTAGTTGACTCCAAATTCACCTAGTGGGAGGGAGAGCTACTCGTGTGATGTCACATACGTCACCAACAGCGAGCTTGGCTTTGACTGCCTCAGAGACATTCTCGCCACTGTGAGTGTTTCTTCTCATGCGAGCATGCATGCATGCTTGCTGCCATTGTGAGTGCCTGCCTTCCATTTTAATCGCACTAACTTTTACCGATTCCCTTCCTTCCCTTGCCATCCCTTACCCTCCCCCTCACAGTCCAAGGCGGACCTGGTGGTGCCCTCCTTCAACTTCTGAATCATCGATGAAGCGACTCCATTCTCATTGACGAGACCCTTGCACTGACTCCTCTACATCCCTTCCCTTCCCTTCCCTCCATGTCATGCCTTCCCCATACCATACGCAGTCCAAGGCTGACCTGGTGGTGCCCTCCTTCAACTTCTGAATCATCGATGAAGCGACTCCATTCTTATCGATGAGGCATTCGCACTGACTCCTCTCCATTCCTTCCCTTCCCGCCATGTCCTGCTTTCCCCACTCACAGTCCAAGGTGGACCTAGTTGTACCCTCCTTCAACTTCTGCATAATCGATGAAGTCGACTCCATTCTCATCGACGAGGCACTTGCACTGACTCCTCTACATCCCTTCCCTTCCCTTCCCCGCCTTGCCCTGCTTTCCCCACTCACAGTCCAAGGTGGACCTAGTTGTACCCTCCTTCAACTTCTGCATCATCGATGAGGTTGATTCCATTCTCATAGACGAGGCCCGCACGCCGCTCATCATATCAGGGCCGGCAGAGAAGCCCAGCGAGCGCTACCTCGTTGCTGCGAAGATCGCCGCTGCTTTTGAACGAGACGTGCACTTCACGGTGAGTTGCAACTGAGAGGTTTGGTGACAGAGAAGGTGTGCGTGTTACTCAGCTCATCATTTCGGGGCCGGCAGAGAAGCCCAGCGAGCGCTACCTCGTAGCTGCCAAGATCGCCGCTGCTATTGACAGGGACACACACTACACGGTGAGTGAGTCAGTGGGTTGCCTGAGTTTTGAGCCTTCCTCTGGAGTTTGAGTGATTGACGAGGCCCGCACGCTGCTCATCATAACGGGGCCGGAGGAGAAGCCCAGCGAGCGCTACCTCGTTGCTGCCAAGATCGCTGCAGCCTTTGCGAGGGACACGCATTACACGGTGAGTGATTCGTTAGCTTGCCTGAGTTTGACTGTTCCCTGAAGTCCTTGTTGATCGACGAGGCCCGCACGCCGCTCATCATCTCAAGGCCCGCAGAGAAGCCCAGCGAGAGCTACCTCGTTGCTGCCAAGATCGCCGCTGCCTCTGCGAGGGACACACGCTACACGGTGTGTTGCAATGCAATTGAGAGGTTTGGTGACTGAGAAGGCCCGCACCGCACGCATGTTACTCATCGCATCATCTTGAGGCAGGCAGAGGGGCCCTGCAAGAGATGCCTCGCTGCGGCCAAGATCGCGGCGGCATTTAAAAGTGACGTACACATACATACGCACACTTATATCAGGTGAGTCCTGGGTTGACAGGTACCCTCCCTCCCTGGTTCCATCCGCGTACACTCACATTATCTCAGAGATGTTGATTAAGGTCGGATTTGATCGCAGCAAGCCAACTGAGGTCGCTCGTGTCTAGATCTAAATAGCATCCGCGTACACACACATTATCTCAGGGCGGTTGTGTGCTTCTCACCCTCAACATGAGGCTTGCACACATGCCGCTCATTGTATCAGATCAGGCAAACCGAGAAGCTGTACAGCTGTCCGCCTTCCTTCCTCCCCCTCCTCCGTGCCTTCCCCACCTTCCGTCCCTGTCTAACCATCCCGCTCAGGTGGACGAGAAGCAGAAATGGTGCTGCTGGCAGACACAGGCTACGATGGGTCAGATCAGAGCTGGTGCTTAAATTGACCCATCTTTACAATGCAAGCCAAGGAGCAGTCAATGCAGTCAAACCCCTCCCTGCTTGCACTCTCAGTCTGTCAATGTCTGCCCGTCCCACTCAGGTGGACGAGAAGCACAAGGTGGTGCTGTTAACAGAGATAGGGTACGAAGAAGCAGAGCTGGTGCTCAAAGTGACCGACCTGTACGACCCCAAGCAAGCAACAGTGGGCGTCCTTCCTCTATCAACACAGTCCAACCCATCCTTGCTTGCGCTCCCTGTATGCCACTACATGTCTGCCCGTCCCACTCAGGTGGACGAGAAGCACAAGGTGGTACGTCTAACAGAGATAGGGTACGAGGAAGCAGAGCTGGTGCTCAAAGTGACCGACCTGTATGACTTCAAAGAGCAGTGGGCGTCCTTCTCTCTCAACGCAATTAGAGCCTCCTCTCTCTGCGTCCTCTCCTTCCCTACCTGCGTGCCGGCCTGTGCTGTCTGCCTTCCGCCTGCCTTCCCTGTCGGTCCTCCCTTCTTTGCCCGACACAGGTGACGAGAAGCAGAAGGTGGTTCTCTTAACAGAGATAGGGTACGAGGAAGCAGAGCTAGTGCTCAAAGTGACGGATCTGTACGACCCCAAGGAGCAGTGGGCGTCCTTCCTCCTCAACGCCATTAAAGCCAAGGAGCTCTTCACCAAGGACGTGCAGTACATTGTGCGCGACGCGCGGTGCTTATAGTGGATGAGTTTACAGGGAGGATAATGGAGGGGCGGCGGTGGAGCGAGGGCGTGCATCAAGCAGTGGAGGCGAAGGAGGGTGTGGCGATCCAGAACGAGACAGTCAGTTTGGCCTCTATCAGCTATCAGAACTTCTTCTTGCAGGTATGGCAGGCGTGATCTTGTGCGCGAGGTAAGTCAGGGCGGGGCTTGAACAGAGGGCGGTGGAGAGAGTGCGTGGCACCAAGCACTGGAGGCGAAGGAGGGCATGGTGATTCAGAAATAGACGGTCAGCCTGGCTGTCTATCAGCTACCAAAACTTCTGCGTTGCAGGTATGACATGCGTGCTGTGTGTGTGCGAGCGAGGTAAGTCAGGGCGGGCTTGCACAGAGGGAGGTGGAGAGAGTGCGTGCACCAGGCAGTGTAGGCGTAAAAGGGTATGGTGATTCAGAATGAGATGGTCAGCCTAGCATCTATCAGCTACCAGAACTTCTCGTTGCAGGTATGACAGGTGCATGTGTGATGGGCCAAGCTGAGTGGCATAACTGGCTGAGCAGCCATGTGATCATTCTCAACAACCCAATTCCTCTCTCCATCCATTGTCAGTACCCAAGCTGTGTGGCATGACCGGGCCAGCAGCCACCGAGGCAGCAGCAGACGAGAAAACTCAAGTTTAAGCCCCTGCTACGCTCCCCGCCCCCCTCCCCCACTCCTCCCACCCACCTTGTATCCACCTGCTCTGCAGTACCCCAAGCTGTGTGGCATGACTGGCACGGCAGCCACAGAGGCAGACGAGTTTGGTCACAAACACCCTAAACTCTTAGCCCGTTCATCATCCACCCACCCTGTGCCATGCCCTGTTTGTCTATCTGCTCTGCAGTACCCCAAGCTGTGCGGCATGACTGGCACGGCAGCCACAGAGGCAGACGAGTTTGAGAGTATCTACAAGCTGGCTGTGGCCGAGGTCCCCACCAACCGACCTCTGCAGCGAAAGGTGAGGCCGTTGGTGAGGGCGATTGGTGAGAATGATGTAGCATTGGAGCATGAAACATGCTGTGTGGCACCACAGACCACACGGCAGCCACAGAGACCGACGAGGTTGAGAGCATCTACAAGCTGGCTGGGGCCGAAGTCCCCACCAACCGGCCTCTGCAGAGAAAGGTGGGACTGGTGTTTCCATTGTATCATGCAGCACAGTTTAGGATGAAGCAAGCAAGGTGTATGGCAAGGGAGTCTGTCGCAGCAGCAGCAGCCACAGAGGCAAACAAGCTTGCGATTATCTACAAGCTGGCTGTGGCGGAGGTCCCCACCAACCGGCCCCTGCAGAGGAAGGTGAGGCCGTTGGTGAGGGCAATGTGTTGCATTGGAGGCAGGTGCTGTAGCATTGTAGTGTGAAGAAACACAGGCCGACGAGTTTGCGAGCATCTACAAGCTGGCTGTGGCGGAGGTTCCCGCCAACTGGCCTCTGCAGAGAAAGGTGAGTGTCTGAGTATGGTGTAGCATGGAGAAAGCAAGATGTGGTGCGCTTGAGTGACTGGAGTAGCAGCAGCAGCAGCCACGAGTTTGCGAGCATCTACAAGGTGGCGGTGGCGAAGGTGCCCACCAACCGGCCCCTGCAGATAAAGGTGAGGTTCTGAGTGGGGACTAATTGCAGCAGCAGCAGCAGCAGCAGCAGCAGCAGCAGCAGCAGCAGCAGCAGTCACAGAGGCAGACGGGTTTTAGAGCATCTACAAGCTGGCTGTGGCAGAGGTGCCCACCAACCGACCCCTGCAGAGAAAGGTGAGCTCACGTGGGTGTTTCGAGGCAGATTTGACAGTCTACATTCGCAAGCCGCAGAGGCAGAGATGCCCGCAAGTGGTATTCGCAAGCTGCATTTTACCAAATGTTGATGGGCAAGCGGAAGGCAGAGGGATGGGATGGGATGGAATGGGAGGGTTGTAATCCCTGGTGGCTTATCATCCGCTCTCATTGGTTATCCCTGGTGGCTTATCATTCGCTCTCATTGGTTATCCCTGGTGGCTTATCATTCGCTCTCATTGGTTATCCCTGGTGGCTTATCATTCGCTCTCATTGGTTATCCCTGGTGGCTTATCATTCGCTCTCATTGGTTATCCCTGGTGGCTTATCATTCGCTCTCATTGGTTATCCCTGGTGGCTTATCATTCGCTCTCATTGCTGTATCCTCGGTATGGTGTCCCTCGCTCTTTATCACAGGGCGAGCAAGATGTGGTGTATCGCACGTCAGTGGGCAAGTGGAGGGCAGTGGTGGCGGATGTGAAGGGCGGCACGCAGAGGAGCAGCCAGTGCTGGTGGTCTATCATTCACTCCTTCCCTCTGTTGCTATAACCTTGCTACTCGCTTTACACCAACTACAGGACGAGCAAGACGTGGTGTATCGCACTTCAGTGGGCAAGTGGAGGGCAGTTGTCGCAGATGTGAAGGGGCGGCATGCAGAGGGACGGCCGGTGCTGGTGGGCACCACGTCGGTTGAAATCAGTGAGGCGCTATCAGCCAAGCTGAAGGAGGCTAACGTCCCCCACCAGGTGCGATGATGTGCATTGTAATGTGTTGTGGTGTGGTACTATGGTGCATGTGGCCCCTCTGCCTGCCGGTGCTGGTGGGCACCACGTCGGTTGAGATCAGTGAGGTGCTATCAGCCAAACTAAAGGAGGCGAATGTTCCCCACCAGGTGAGGAGAGTGGGTGCTGTGCTGTGTTGTGCGGTGTGGCGTGATTCTGTGCTGTGTGTGTGCGGGTGGGCACCACGTCGGTTGAGATCAGTGAGGCGCTATCAGCGAAATTGAAGGAGGCAAACGTTCCCCACCAGGTGAGGTGCTGTGTGGTCAGGTGAGGTGACATGAGATGATGTGAGGTGAGGTGAGATGCGGTGAGATGAGATGAGTTGACTTGTCTAGAAAGATGTCTTGGCTTGGAACTGCCAGTGCGGGTGGGCACCACGTCGGTTGAGATCAGCAAGCCCTTTCGGCCAAATTGAAGGAGGCAAACGTTCCCCACCAACCAAGTGCGTAGAGTGTGTGATGTGTTGTATTCTGCATTGGTTGATGTGATGTGGTCATGGTGCGGCCCGTGCTGCCCGTGCTGGTGGGCATTAGACCTGTAATGTGATGGCAGGTATGATGTGATGTCAACTCGCCAGAAAACCAACAAAATGAATTTTCAGAACCAACCTGCGTCATGATTGGCAGAAGTCACCTCACAATGACTGCATGTTCCACTTCCTCGGATTATCCTTCTGAGCTTATCATCAACTCCACTCCCTCAAAACGCGTGTCCTGCGCATAGTTTGTACAAGCATGTTATTAAGAACGACGTACACACACAACAATGTATTCCCTACCTCAGTGATATTAAGTCCAAATTTCTTCTCGTGAACCTCAGAAACAGTTCTAGGACCTTGGACTACATTAGCGTTGACTTCATTACGCACGGGTTCCATGGTGCTGCCTGTGCTGCCCGTGCTGGTGGTACAGGTGCTGAACGCCAAGCCGGAGAACGTGGAGCGGGAGGCAGAGATAGTGGTGCAGAGCGGGCGAGTGGGGGCGGTTACAATAGCAACCAACATGCCTTCATATTTTCTCGTCCATCCTTCCCTCCCTTCCATTCTCCTCACCCCCTCTCCTCACCCCTTCTCCGCAAAGGTGCTGAACACCAAGCCAGAGAACGTGGAGAATAGCAGAGATAGTTGCGCAGAGCGGACGCGTGGGGGCGGTGACGATAGCAACCAACATGGTTCCATATTTTCTCATCCATCCTTCCCTCCCTTCCATTCTCCTCACCCCCTCTCCTCACCCCTTCTCCGCACAGGTGCTGAATGCCAAGCCAGAGAACGTGGAGAGAGAAGCAGAGATAGTCGTGCAGAGCGGGTGTGTGGGGGCGGTGACCAAGGCAACCAACATGGATTTATATCCTTCCATCACTCCATCCTCCCCTCCCCTCCCCTCTCCTCACTCACCCTCTTTCTCACAGGTGCTGAACGCCAAGCCAGAAAACGTGGAGAGAGAAGCAGAGATAGTGGCACAGAGCGGGCGAGTGGGGGCAGTGACGATAGCAACCAACATGGCTGGGCGGGGAACTGACATTCTTCTGGGTGGCAATGCTGAATTTATGGCCCGGCTCAAGCTGAGGGAGGTGCTCATGCCCAGGTGCAGTGCGGTGCAGTGTGGTTGATTGAAGGGTGTGTGGTGCAGTGTGGTTGTAAATGTGTGGGACAGTGCCAGTAGCAATTATGGTTAAACACTTGTGTTTCTCTCTTCTCCTCACTGCCCTTACCCTCTCTCCTTCTACCCTCTCCTCCTCTCCCTCTTGCCCTCTCCTCTCCTCTTACCCGCTCGCTCCCCTGCTCCTTCCCTCTTCTCTGCTCCTGCATACTGCTGCCGACAGAGTGGTGAAGGCTGATGACGTGGCGTTCATATTCCAAGGCAAAACGAAGATTGCCGTCAAACGAACCTGGACGGTATGTCCTGCCAAGTGCAATGAACCTGGACGGTATGTCCTGCCAAGTGCAATGAACCTGGACGGTCTGTCCTGCCATGCCATGTGTGGAAGGAACCTGGATGGTATGTCCTACCACATGCAGCAGTGCAGGCGTGGGGGAGCAGCGGTGGCGAGTAACATGTGAATGGGGGCATAGCATAATAACTGAAACGCTCTCACGCTGCAAGCTCCATCCTTGCCTCCCCCATCCTCACCCCACCAGTTGCCTCCCAATCTCTCCCCCTGTGCACTCTCGCCTGACTTCACTCACTCGTGTCGTGGACGAGGTGGCCACGTTTTGAGGCGCCTCAAAACGAGGCGGCCATGCATGAGCATGGCCCACACATAGCATATTGCTGTGTGGGGCTGATCCATCACCAAAGGCCCTCTCAGTCTGCCTGCTCTGCTTCCCATCCCCTTCCCTCTTATGCGCATCCACTGCCCTCCTTTTTCCATCCCAACCAGGAACCACCCGCTGTCTTCCCCTGTCCACTCTCAACGGACTTCACTCGTGTTGTGGACGATGCACTGCAGGCAGCAGTGCAGGCATGGAGGAGTTTGGCTCTAAGACTGGGGAATCACTTTCTGAGATCTTGTGTATATCTCACTTCTCTCACCCACCCCTTCTTTTTTCTCCAGGTGCCGGCCAGTCTCTCCCCCTGTCCACTCGCCTGAATTCACTGACGTTGTAAACGAGGCGGTGCAAACAGCAGTGGAGGCAGCAGTGGAGGCAGCAGTGGAGGCGTGGCGAAGTGCTCTCAACAGAAGCTGTCTGAATTCCTGTGCAAAAGTGTCCCTCCTCTGCCTTTGTATTCCCATCCCCACCAGGTGCCGCCCAATCTCTTCCCCTGTCCGCTCTCGCCTGACCTCACTGACGTTGTGAACGAGGCGGTGCAAGCAGCAGTGGAGGCGTGGGGGAGCAGTTCGCTCACAGCACTGGAGGCAGAAGACAGGCTGGCATTCGCATGTGAGAAGGTGAGAGCTGATGATGGGGTGGTGGGTAGGGTAGAGGGTATGGGCGATCGAGTGGAGTGCTCATGGGCCAGTCACAGCAGTGAGGTCAGCAGTGCAGGCGTGGGGGAGCAGTCCGCTCACCGCATTGGGGCAGAGGACAGGCTGGCATTCGCATGTGAGAAGGTGAGAGCTGATGATGGGGTGGTGGGTAGGCGTTATGTTCAAATGAGAGAAGTGCATGTGAGCACAGGCCGCAGCAGCAGTGTAGGCGTGGGGGAGCGATCCCCTCACAGCAAGCAACTGACCGTGTGGTGAAGCAACTGAGAGCATCGTGTGGGGACGTGGAGGGGCAGAAGAGGAGGGTCATTGCTGCAAGAGACTGCTACCATTCTTCCCTCTCCCTCCTCTCCCCACCCCCCTCTTCTCATCCCCCCAGGGCCCCACAGCTGACCCTGTGGTGAAGCAATTAAGGGCAGCCTTCGAGGCAGTGGAGGGGGAGTATCGGCGATTCTCAGTGGAGGAGATGCGGAGGGTGATTGCTGCTCGGGGAGGGGGACTTTGTGTGCAATGACAGGATTTTGCTTGTATTGCCCTTCACTCCTTTCCTGCTCCCTATCCAGGGCTCCACGTCTGACCCTGTCGTGAAGCAGCTGAGGGCAGCTTCGTGGCGGTGGAGGGGGGGTATCGGCGATTCACGGTGGAGGAGAAGCGGAGAGTTATTGTTGCTGGGGGGAGGACAGCATGTGACACCACACTATCATGCTTGTTCTTCCTCTCCCTCCTCTCTGCTCCCTGCCCTTTCGTCCCCCAAGGGCCCCACAGCCGACCCTGTGGTGAAGCAATTAAGGGCAGCCTTCGAGGCGGTGGAGGGGGAGTATCGGCGATTCACCGAGGAGGAGAAGCGGAAAGTGATTGCTGCAGGAGGCCTGCATGTGATCGGCACAGAGCGGCACGAGTCACGACGTGTGGATAACCAGGTAGGCCGGTTGGTATGAGATCAGGTTGAGTGGTTCAAGGTTCATGGTTCAAGGTTTAAGGTTCAACGTTTAAGGTTCAAGGTTCAAGGTTTAAGGTGCAGCAGACTGCTTGTGATTGGCACGGAGCGACACGAGTCACGATGCGTGGACCACCAGGTAGGTCGGTTGCAACCTGTGTATGAGCACTGGATTTTCTAACATTGCTGCTGGGGGGCTGCATGTGATTGGCACAGAGCGTCACGAGTCGAGACGTGTTGACAACCTGGTGAGTGGTTCAAAATTCAGAGTTCAAGGTTCAACACGCAACAAACTGTTTGTCGTTGGCACATCAACTTGTGAGGCGCCTCATGATGTCATCGGCACATCAACTTGTGAGGCACCTTAAAATGTCATTGGCACATCAGACTACGGCAGGGAGATCCCAGCAGTTCTCCCTCGTCTCCTTCCATGCAATGCAGCTACCTAGTCTCCAGGAACTGCTTATAGCTGCCATCACTGAAGGCCCGCATGATCACACCATATCTTCTTGCCCCGCAATCGATCGACTTCGTGGATCTCTTTGCTGACTGTTGCAGGAGGATTGTTGTGGCGGTGAAGGTTTACAATAACGGGGTATAAAAAAGTCATTAGGGAGGGAGGTTCAAGAAGAGGAGGGAGACGGCGGTGTGGGCGGTCATTACCCGAATTTTGCATACCGAGGAGGCTGATGAGGAAATGAAAATCGGGGTGATTTTGCATCCCTCTTTCTCTTTTCCTCATCAGGCTCCTCGGTGTGCAGAATCCGGGTGATGGTCGCCGCCCACACCGCCGCCCACACCGCCGCCCACACAGCCGCCTCCACCGCCGCCTCCTTCCTGAACCTCCCCGCAGATGAAATTTTTATACACCGTTATTGTAAACCTTCACTGCTACAGGTGAACTTGCTGCGGGTGTTTGGGGGAGAGAGGATCGACGGGCTGATGAGGGCCTTCCATGTGGAGGATCTGCCCTTCGAGTCGCCGTTTCCATTCCTGCTGCTGCTCTCCTCCCCCCTGTTTCCCGCCTGTTCCCCCCAATCTCAACTCTTTTTCTCCGTGCATCCAGCTACGTGGCCGCAGCGGGCGGCAGGGGGACCCAGGGAGCTCACGCTTCTTCCTGAGCCTTGAAGACAATCTGCTGAGAGTGTTTTGGGGGAGAGAGGATCGACGGGCTGATGAGGGCCTTCCATGTGGAGGATCTGCCCATCGAGTCGCCGTTTCTGAACCGAGCGCTGGAGGATGCGCAGAGGAAGGTGGAGAACTACTACTTTGACATTCGCAAGCAGCTGTTTGAATACGATCAGGTGCGGTGCGGTGTGGTGCAGTGCAATGTGGTGTGGCTGGTGCGGCTCATAGGGTGTGCACTGATACAGGTCCAGTCTGTGCTAGAGGATGCGCAGAGGAAGGTGGATAACTACTACTTTGATATTCGCAAGCAGCTGTTCGAATACGACCAGGTGGGTGGGGTGTGGTGCAGTGCGGTGCTGTGCGATGCGATGCGGCCCGTAGGGCGTTCGCTGATACTGGTCTAGTCTGCGTAGGAGGATGCGCAGAGGAAGGTGGAGAACTACTACTTTGACATTCGCAAGCAGCTGTTCGAATATGACCAGGTGGGTGGGGTGTGGTGCAGTGCGGTGCGGTGCGTTGCGGTGCAGCCCGTAGGGTTTGCACTGATACAGGTCCAGTCTGCATTGGAGGATGCGCAGAGGAAGGTGGAGAATTACTACTTTGATATTCGCAAGCAGCTTTCGAATACGACCAGGTGGGGTGCAGTGTGGTGCAGTGCGGTGCAGTGTGGTCCCGGTGCAGCCCATAGGGTGTGCATTGATACTGGTCCAGCATTGGAAGATGCGCAGAGGAAGGTGGAGCCGCTTTGGCTACAGCTGTTTGAATACAACAGAGGATTTGGTGTGGTATGGTATGGTCGTGTGTGGTGCTGGCTGTGAAAGCATTGTTACACTGCACTGTTAGGCTTACCCCTCGTCCCCATGTTTGCTCCTTCAACGCATCCCCCACCCAACAGGTGCTGAACAGCCAGAGGGAGCGGTTCTACTCGGAGAGAAGGAGAGCGCTGGAGACAGAGGATCTGGTGTGGTGTGGTATGGTGGTGTGCGGTAATTTGATGGCTTTGAATGCTGACACCCCGGTTTCACTCTGTGCTCTTCTGATCCCCACCAGGTGCTGAACAGCCAGAGGGAGCGGTTCTACTCGGAGAGGAGAAGAGCGCTGGAGACAGAGGATCTGGAGGGGCTGATGCTGGAGTATGCACAGCTTACCATGGACGACATTGTCAATGTGAGGGGCGGTTCAGTCAGGTGCATTGCGATCAGATCAGGTGTGCTATTGTCACGTATGATGTGGTGACGTGCGATGCAGTCAGGTGCCACGCCATACTGTGAAGCTGTTCTTTCTCGAGAATTTCCGAGTCGATTCAAAAGCTGTTCTTTCTCGACAATTTCCGAGTCGACTCAAAAGCTGTTCTTTCTCGAGAATTTCCGAGTCGACTCAAAAGCTGTTCTTTCTGGGGAAGAACCTTGTTCATGTACGCTCTACTCTCACTCCATCTGCTCCCCACCTCCCTCAGGCAAACATCGATCCATCGCTGTCACAGGAGGAGTGGAACTTCGAGGTTCTTACAAAGAAGGTCAAACAGTAAGTGCTGCAGTTCTCATTTATACTAATCATTTCGAATCCTCTAGTGAATTCTTCCAGAGGTAATGTTGATTTTCCTTTCTTCCTTTCTTTTTTTCTTCTTCTTCCCAGCACTGGTTTGTCGAAAGACGGTCGCTATCTCCATTTCAACTTCTGAGGCGCCTCATTTGAGGCGCCTCAAAGAACGGCCGCCATCTCCATTGCACCGAATCCCCCCTCGAGTGTACCCTTCCTTTTCTCCCTCTTCATCCTTCACATACCCCCTCTTGCAGGTACTGTGCTCTGCTCACGGATTTATCAATCGATGACATTATCTATCACAGCGACACTGTAGACACCCTAAGGGATTACCTGCACCAACGCAGCAAAGACGCCTACTACACAAAGAAGGTGCGGAAAAAAAAAGTCCTTGGTCTCACCACTGAGAATCCCGTAAGCGGTACTCCAAGCTTATCAAGATGAATCAGCTGGAAGAGCACCCACTTTCACCCCTTCCACCGCTCTTTTTTCTCCATCACCATTCTCAACCCCTTGGCACCGCGAACTCTCAAATGGCACAGCACCCGCCGCCACTCATCCCTCAATATCACCTCAATCTCTTTCTCGAACCCCAACCCTAACCCCCTGTGACCCTACCTCCTCACCCTTTCTACAGGCAGAGGTAGAATCGGCAGTCCCAGGGTTAATGAGGGATGCAGAGCGGTACTTTGTGCTCACTCAGATGGATCTTCTCTGGAAGGAGCATCTGCAGGCGCTCAGGTTCACCCAGCAGGCCGTGGCTTTAAGAGGCTACGCGCAACGAGACCCTCTTATCGAGTACAAGCTTGAAGGGTACAACCTGTTTCTCGCAATGATGGGGCAGATTCGACGAAACGTCATTTATTCCGTGTATCAGGTGAGAACATGCGTAGACATCTAGATGTTTGTATCGAGTACAAGCTTGAAGGGTACAACCTCTTTTTCGCAATGATATGGCTGATCCAGCGAAACGTCATTTACTCTATTTACCAGGTGAGAGAATGTGTACGTTGGTATGATCTTCGCATATGGCCACGCAATTTGGGGCCGCCTACCTGCCTTTCTTCCCAGAATCTTTTGAGTCGACTCAAAAGTCGTTGGTATGATCTTCGCATACGGCCATGCCATTTGGGGCCGCCTACCTGCCTTTCATCCCAGAATCTCCCGCCTCCCTCCTGGCTCCCAATCCTTGCATTCCCATGATTTTGCATTTTGATCAGTCGGTTTTGACAACCCTGTGAATGTGTGCTCTCGTGATGGTTTGTGTTCTTGTAATGGTGTGTGTTCTTGTAATGGTGTGTGTTCTTGTAATGGTCTGTGTTCTTGTAATGGTGTGTGTTCTTGTAATGCTCTGTTACAGTTCAATCCAGTCACAGTGAGTCAACCTGAGGGAGCACAACCGTCCAAGACTAGCTGAAAGTGAAAGAATGTAAATGGCGAGATATGCTCACTTCGCTTGTGGTGTAAGTGAGAGGGATTCTGGAGACACACAGTCGGCCCTTAGAAGTTGCAAGAACATCACTTGGTGGGCGTTGACTTCCCTCGTCTGCTAATGGCCAGATATATGCTGGCTTCGCTTGTGGTATAATTGAGAGGGATTCTGGAGGCACGCAGTCGGCCCTTAGAAGTTGCAAGAACATCACCTTGTGGGGGTTGACTTCCCTTATCCCTTGTGCATCCGTGAATGTTTGTCGCCGAGTTTTGCAGCAGCTGTTGACCAGCGTTGAGTGTGAATCATCCCTCACAAATGCCTCTTTTTCCCACCAGTCTGTTCACGATGTGGTGTGAGCTTACGGGTACCGTAGACATACAGTACCATTCCCAGTCGGGTTAGGACGCCACGCTCCTCCGCTTGAACGAGACGAGCAGAGGTAGATAAGCCTTCTTGTTTACATTCCAAGAACGGCGATCAGCGATTGCGAAAGAGCGTGAAGCGCGTATTTTTAGGACAAACTGGTTGCCAGGCGTGGGAATTGCGGCTCATGTGGGTTGATCTTTGATAGGCGCCGCCTGGCGAAATGGCAAGCACAAGACACGATAGGCCTCAAGGCTACTAGAACACCATCCTAGTAACTTGAAACCAAACAAAACAGTATAATCAAGGCGGCATATAGGCCAGCGCTTCCGTTGTTGCATTTACGCTATAGTAGCTCTATCCGCCTCTTTATTATCGAGGTTCGTTGTTAAGGCGAAGCCCTGCACGCGCCTGGTTTCGCGTGTAGCAGCCCTATGCGGAGTAGCGAGGCTTCGCATACCGCATACCGGTTTTACCAGTATTGCGGTATTCGCCAAGTACACTCCAGTCTGTGCGCTTCGGTATGCGCATTTCGACATTGGACCAGGGAAGTGACGACATTGCACAAACGCGTATGTGCAACTGTCAGTGTTGCAAGAACCTGCGCAACTACTCGTAGGCAGGTAGAAATACACCTGACGGTATTTTCACCTGATGGTATTTTCACCTGGCGGTGCCAACCTGGAACCGCATTCTAGAGTAGGTGCTTGCACGTTCTCCTTGAACAACGTTCTTCATGAACAACGTTCTCGTAGAACGTTCTTGCACACGTCACTATGCTTCTCTATAAGGTTCATGTTGTTTCTGTTGTAATCAATCAATTAATGAAGTTCTTTCTTTCCGTTACTGCATACCAAGTTGGCTTCAGTATTCGGTTTCCAGCAAGTCCGTATTCGGTTTACAAGCATCCGCTTTGCAACTCTGCGCCTAGGCTCTCCCATAATCGCCTATTCTCCGCATTCGTCACCATAACCTCCTGAAGTAGTAACTACACGTTAGCCGCGGGAGGATAGCCTCCTGGTGGCGGGTACGCGGCTGCGGCAGGCGGGGCATTGGCGGCGTATTTTTCCTCCGCGCTCTTACGGTTGCGGCGCATGATAAAGAAGACGCTGAGGAGAATCAGGCCTGTGACGAGAGGCACTACGATCCCCAGTACGATGCGCGGCCAGCATACATATCTGCAATCGGCTGCCGGAAAGGAAGTCGGAAGAGAAAGGGGAAAACAGGGGGGCAGCGCATTTGTATCAGTGTTGGATGCATTTCAGGCGCATAAATTCGACGTGCTTTTATTCGGGATATTCGGACTCCCGTCATAATAGCAGCCCGCCTGGTAGCAGCATGTGTTGCTATATTTGTCAGCGGTGCACAAATTGCACGAAAAGTGCTTCGAAAATCACCGCAACTCTACAAAATTTGCGAGCCCACATCCCATGCCCAAATCTGGGTTTTCCCCATCTATGAGCACTGACCTCTGCACGAGCAATTACAAAGGTCACGTGAAACAGTGTTTAGGAGGGTAAACAGTGCTGAAATATTGGTGCACATTTCAAAATCTTTGTCCCCCCTTCCTCATTGTCTCTGCAGCTACCTCAAGCTCGCATCGAGCCAGCCCCGCACATACCAATTTGGTTTGATGCAGCGACTATACTTCGGTTCTGGTGGATGTAGAGTGGTGTAACTTCGTTGCAAACAGGCCACCGAATTTGCATGATCGTGGGACTTCGCACCAGCTGAAATTTCATGTGCGTTATAACAAGGAGAACTATAGCGAAACTTGTGTCGGATAAGGTGTTGCTGACGCGTCAAAAACACATGTGTTGCTGACGCGTCAAAAACATTGCGACTTTGCAGGTGCAGTTTCACAACTGGATGTGACAGCGTGGGTTGGTTTGGCCTTCTGTGGCGAAAAGTAACCCACAAGGCTTGGGCTCGTGTGGGGCGCGAGGTGGGAAGGGGCACCACACCATCAATTTCGCAAATCACTTCGCCAAATTCTCGCCAATCAGCACGTGCGACAACCACAGAAAGAAATGCCCCTTGCTATGGAAGTTCCTTCACTCGCTATTCAAACTCCTCGCTATCCAACTCCCAGCATTCAGTTCATCATCTCTCTCTGCATCCATGTTTCGGTTTCCTAGACTCACTCAAGAGTGCTATTGCTGATTGCACCTGTTCCTTCCTGATAAGACGCTACTAATGTATTCGTTCGTTTGTGTTCTGTTTGTCTTTCATTCTCCTCCCAGCAGCATACGATCAAGAGTCTCAGTGGCGGATGTTAACCTGCCTTGGCTGCATGAAACTCCTAATTACGCAATGGCTGCACACTCTACACCCGCTAATCCGTTCGTGTGCGAAACAGGTAAGTTGTTTTTAGGGATACGCATTGGCTAACATAACCTCGTGCGTACCTATTTTCTGTGTCCTATATCAGTATCAGCCAAGATGAAGTTTTACCTTCCAGCGTTCGAGACTATTATCGCCTTCTCTGAAAACATTTATTTATCAGGTGTTTGTCGCCATATTTGGACGTCTTCAATCCTGTTTCGTCGTCATTGATGTCCTTCGATGCATTTCTTGTCACCTTAACGAAGCTCGGAAAGGCCCTGCCACATGAAATGCATATACGGTTGGTAGGTTGGTGTCCGTTTCATGGTATGTGTGCTGGCTCTTTTGACCTAACTCTGTTGCATATGTTGGTGCTAAGTGCAGAACCCTCGTCCCGCCGAATTGTGCCGTTCATCAATGCATGATGCATGTGTTGTGGGTGTTGTACATCAGTACATAATTAGGATCTTTTTTGCCTTAGTGGTAAGGCAGACCAGGTACTGGTACTGGATGTCATTGATGTAATGCTGGATTGAAATATAAGAGATACCAAGCAGATAACGAGACTCACGTATCACGATTCTACGGATTGATACCACTACCCGTACCTATTTTGAAAGCTGTTTTCACGTTTTGCATTCTTTTGATATATTTAATCATGATAGGCAGTGTGTACTGTGATAATTGATCCGTTATTGAAGCGTCTTATATGCATTGCTTCAATTGCTGTAATGAGGATGAGCAATGCTGGTCGAATGCTGGTGCACTGGTTGCCGAGCCTGATCAAGATTGCTCCGGCATACCTTCCAACCATTGCTCAAACAAAGCTCACCCGTCAAGATTGCTCAAGCATTTCACATGATAAACCACGAGCATTGATGGCAGGGGAAAACCTCAAAGAGTCCCCATGAAATGTTTTTGCAATCTTTTTCCTTCCGACATTTTGTAGAGTATTGAGGGAAGGTTGATCACTATGATTATCTGACCAAGATGACATGAAAGCGTTGCTTTTTTATCCTTAGAGCACATTTTCATGTTGAGCTAAGCACTCGCTACTCTCATTCCAGCCGTCTCGCCTACGCAACGCACTTCAATAATCGTGCAGTGTTCAGCAAGCGAGGGCATGGTTGTACAGCTCTGGCTTGTTTGCGACGTGAATCCTGGAGAGTTGCCTTTGCGGGTAAAATGGTAGTGGCAAGTGGTGTTGAGGCTATTAGAGCGTTTTCTTGTGGTAAACAGTGGTTCTGCTAATCGAAGCCAAGGGGAGGCCGAAATATGGAATCGGGTCGAAAGACTACTTCTCACGAAACCTGCTCAACCACCATAAATTGCATTCCACCACCGACTGTTCGCTGAGGCACCAATATTTCTGGCTGCCAATTATTCTGGCTGCCGAGAATCACGCGCATCTGATGTTGACTTGCATTGACTGTTCCAAGAGCCTCCGTTAAAGCCGCGGTGCAACTATCTTAGGAACAGTGACAAGCCGGGTTTTGTCTTGTTCCGTACTGGTAGTCAATTGGCTAGCGAGTGTGTAAGTTGTGTTGCGATGAAAACATCCAAGGCGAATGTCGCGAACCTCGAAAGGAAAAGGGGGGGGGGAAGGGGTGGGGGGAAGGGAAGGGGGGAACACACACGAAACGGGAAATGGGACCACATCACCACCCCCATACTCCCTTTCGCTGATTGTTCTGCCAATAACACCTCCACATTGCAAAACGATAAACCTTATGTTTCATAAAAGCTTTGCAAAATACATATTTCACTTACAAGGTTTATTTTGGTTTATTTATCCATCCATTTGCAAGAGTATTATTTCTAATGGGGAGAAAGAACATCAACTGTACAGACCTGCAAGACTTGGAATATCATATTGAAATCCTTATCATGCAAAGGATCGCAAGCAAACAACATGGCATAATCCAAGGAGAGCCGATTTTTACACTCCGATCCACTATTGGTGCAGCTGTCCATTTACAGGGAGGAGGGGGGAGGGGAAAAGGGGAAGGAAACGTTGCGCATTATTGAAGAATGTTAGGTAGGGAAATTGAAGAGAGCATGGAAACTGAGATATGATAGACAGCCATCAGTGGCCAAGCAAAGCTGGTACTGTCGGCTGAATTGAACGAGAGAACGTAGTGGAAAGGGAAGGGACGGTAGTGGGGGAAGGCGAGGGGCAGGGGAGGGGGGAAAGGGATGGCTGAGAGAAGCGTGAATGGTGGGAGAGGACAGTAGGAAAGGGAAGGGATGTGAGAGAGGGGGAGGAAAAGTGGGAGGGAAGGACAGGGGGAAAGGGA